CCTCGCGCCCCCCCCCCTATTTACGCCACTGCGTGTCTAACATTTGATTTGATTCTCGTTTTATCAACATCATTGACTGGCGATTAAAAAATGGGAAAAAAACTCGGTAGTTTCTGTGTTATTGTTGTCACTGAAATCTATAGCAAGAGTGAAAGTACATGGGTATGAGTGTTGATGAATATTTTTACTGAAGGAAGACATACTCATCCGAAAGAGCTTTAATTTGGATCGGATAGCGAGAAGTTTAGTTATTCTGACAGAAAACCATGTTTTGAGAACAACGTAATATAATTTTCGAAATGAAACATAATGCGTTATAGCGATTGCTGGGAAATTGTATTAGTTTTGACAATCGAATGAATTTCCGGAAATTGAATTTAGTCATCAGATATAACAGGCATAATGGGCATTAAAAGGGTGAGAATTTATTGTTATTGTTATGTATAACAATAACAATAACTACTCACCCCTAATGGGCATAATGAGAATGTAAGTGCTAGTGTGGGTGTAGGGGAAGGTGAGACTAGAGAGGAAGAGGGGGAAAGATATAAGTTTGGGTGTAAATTGCTTAATATGCCCTATATGCCTAATATGCTCTGTATTGATTGCTACTCATGTCCCTTCTATTATTTGTCCTCCTCCTTTCTTCTATGACCTTCACGTTTCTTTTTTCTCTCTCTTCTATATTATATTTTACTTTGACTGTTTCTATGTTCAGCTCAGTTGTAAAAAAATTCATGTATAAGATAGGTTTATTGCAGTGTTTCTAATAGGAATCTGAAGTATAGTACCTCTCGGCACGTTCAACGTGTAACTAAGGTACCATTTGGTACTTTATTTTGAATGGCAAAGTACCATACCGTGCCAAAGGTAAAAAAACCATGTTAAAAAAACACAAACAAAGTTTTTACTATTCATATATTTTCATGATGAAATAGTTCTATAGAAAAATAATGTAACCAAAGTAAAACATGTCAACAACAATCAATAGTACATACAATTGATTGCAAAAAAACTTGGAAAGATTTTTTTTAAGATAGCTATTTTTCTGCTGTTAGAAATGAATATAGAACTGATTTTTCCAGGGATAAATCCTTTTTGAGAGACATATTAAATGTTATATATATATAAGAGTGTAATTTTTTTTCCCTTTTCTATTTTTTATAAGTCAATCAAAAGAATATGAAATTATACTGTTGTTTAGTGCTCTTCGTAGGCTAACTACCACATTATAAACTAATTTGAAAAGCACCTGTATAGGAGAAGATATTTGTAGAAGGTTTCCAAGTTTTTTTGTAAACAACTCTAACAAATAAATGTGCTAAGATAAAAATGGATCGAATAACCTGTTTAATAAAAAATCAATATTATCTAGAGAAGAAACAATAATTTCTACGACCGGCAGCAGATAATAAATCTCGAAAAAGAATGAACTATCTAAGCTCCACCTGCAAGTAAAACGAAAAGAAAGGAAGGACAAAGAAAAAAAAAGTAATTTATGGATAAGCTATAGTAAAACCAATAAGTAAAGTACTTTTTCATTTAACAAAGTGCCATCTAGGTACATTGTTTTTTTCAGCAAAGTACCAAATAACGTGTCATTTCAAATTGTTATGTGCCGCCGGCACTTTGCTAACACAGTCGGCACGCGCTATTAGAAACACTGGGTTTATTGTTCTATCATTCGCTTTTTCACTTGTTATTATTTTTATAAAATATATCTATAAATACACAACATTACGAACTTAAGATATCTTCTCTTCAATTCTGAAATACTTCATTTAAGTTAGCGTTAGTTCTAAGGTGCTCACAGACCAAGTTTTATTTAGTAGTCGTCTTTCAGCTTATATATTAACATAGATAGGAGTCATGTTAAATTCTAGATAATTTATTAACTAGAATAAAATATAGATATGTAGTTTATATCTTATGTATTACCAAACATTAATTACAAAAAAAACTTTTTCTTTAATGCAGATGCTAATGAAACGATAATTTTTCAAAAAAACTAAAGAATTCAAAAAGTCATGTATATTTTGAAAGAAGAAACTTCCGAGTAGTTTTCTTAAGATAAAAATTAAATTCCATTTTGTTTTCGAAAATTTATTCTGCAAAAAAGAACATAAACTGAATAAATATATATATGTAATAACAAAATAGAAATATGTGCACGTTTATGAGATTTTTGCGGACGCACATATAAAGAAATAATCAGAAAATCTCTTTTTTCCCTTAATCAAGGAAATAGATTTCTTATCAGTATAGAATACTGTCAAAATGAAGTGTCATGACATAAATATAATTAATCTTTTAGTATATTGACAACAATCTGTTCTCATATTCGATAGTAAATAAAGTTTTGTCGGAATATAACCATAAAATAATCCTTCCAGTTTCAGCACGCCGAAGATCAATAGTAGGGTGTGAGCGTGGGTGTGAGCTAATAGAGAAGATATACATACCCAGACTTATATTCACAACCTCGCACAAAAGTCTTTCTCCTCTTCGTTTCTTTGCTATCATACTTTACATGAAATATATTGCCGAGTAGAGATATGGCTTGAAAGTTTTATTTCAATATGGTATACAGATTACAATACAATAAAATTCTCAAGTCATATCTCTACTCGACAATAAACTTTATATCAAGTATGATAGCATAGAAATAAAGAGGAAAGAAAGACTTTTGTGCATAGGTGTATCTCATATTTGAGTCCATTTTTTCTATAAAAATTATTTTTCAAGAGATTAGTTTATCGACCAGACTGGTTTACCATTTCGTAATAAACGCTCGGTACTAATCCATATCATGTCAAATATTCGAAAGACGTCGAAATTTTCGAAATATTTCATTCTACAAAAAATATATAAGTATCGTATAAATATACAGTATGAAATCGAGCTTTGTAAATCAGAACTTGTATTTTTCTCAAAAATAAAATCTTATTATGCGACCAGACTTTTCGCGATTAGATCTTATTTTCTAGAATTTCAAAAATTGAATACGATGTTGGTTTCGCATCACCTGGATTGCTACGGCATATATCTAGCTGTGATAGTCCTCTTTTTTTCTCATTTTCTATGCATTGAACGGCGTTAGTATAAAGGTAACTCACCCTTCCCTCATCTTAGAAGTCTACGGGGGTATTTTTAGATTTTAGCGCAGCTAGATTGAAATCAGTGAAATTTTTGCCTTAAATTCGAAAAAAAAATTTGAAAAGTGAAAATGTTTTTGGAAAAATTAGAGGGTTTCTAGTATAGTAGGGGCTTTTATTATGAAAAGGGATTCAAGAAAATTATTAAAAATCAAGAGAAATCAGGAGATTTGGCAACCCTAGACCAGATGTGAGTTTAAGCAGATATTTATTTCTCATTCATCCGCCGCCATTTTCATCTTCATCTTGAGGTTGTAAGTATGGTGCTGTCTTTATCGCACACCTACCGTAGAAGGTTTGGATCGGATTTTGAATACCAGTATATGTTATCTTTATTTTATTTTTAGTAAATGATTACCTGTTTCGTCTGAAACATGGCTTTCTATTCGACTAAACTTCTGATTTATATCACAGCAATTACCTGCGTAATAATTATAGGCAGTTTTGAAATAAGAAAACTTCAGTGTATCCAAATACGGAATTCTATCCAAAAATTTTCAGCCGAAGATCTCGACGCATATAAGCATTCATTTCCAATTTCATCGCAACGTAATCTAGTGATAACAACTGCCGTTAACTCAGATCTGATGACTATATATCGCTTTTCACGTTCATTCCGAGCAACTTGTGCTTTTTGCACGCTGGTAATGATTGTCACAAATGCAACAATGTATAATAATGATTTCAAAGAGTTAGCAGAACTTTATTCAATCATTTATGTATCCCGTGAGAAGTATACTCCAGAACACTTGAAATCACATCTATCCAATATTAAAAATATTCACTCTACTCGTTGGATAATAATCAATAATTATTTACTGACATTACAATCAAAGAATGAAGTGTTCAACAATGTATTTATCTGTGATTCACGTGATACTGTATTTCAAACAGACGTTTTTGTACACATGACTGCGTATACTCCAGGATTATATGCTTTTATGGAAGACATTCGTATGACAATTGGCACATGTCCAATCAACAAAGATTGGATAAAAAAATGTTACGGCGAAACAGAAGTCAGAAAGCTGTTTAATAATCCAATTAGTTGTTCAGGTACAATACTTGGTAAATGGTTTGCAATTCTATCGTATCTATCTATCATGGAGTCTGAGATATTGAGCACACCAGTAGCCTGTAAAGCTCGTATGGGCACTGATCAAGCAATTCACAATTACATAATCTATAATGAGAAGATACCCAACGTAACAATTCATCATATCTCTCATGAATATGGTTTTATCGGTACGTTGGGATATCCGCTATGGTTGAAGAGAAATCAGTTTGGATTAGTACAAAACGCAAATAGATCGGTCTATGCAGTTATTCATCAGTGGGACAGAAGTGAACAAATGAAAATTCAATTTCAGCAGGAGTATCAAATAATACCATCAAATATTCGAGATAAAAAAAATTCAGTATGATATTAATTGTCAAATTGTACTTTATTCTATTAATTTATTTTCTAAAGAATAAAGCTTTTTGTTATCTCTATTGATCATTTATTCTTTGAAAAGAGATAATATAACTGCATATATCATCAGTTGAAAAATCCAGGTGTGATATTTTTATTAATGAGCTGCTTTTATTTCAACTTTAATATAATTTTCTTTTTTCTTATTTAACACAACAGAACGCAAAATGTCGTAGTATAACTTCGCTAATCCTATCTCATGATTAGTGATGCTTTAAAGAGTACAAACCAGATTACTTTTATTTTGAAATTTACATAGCAATATCAAAATTGAGTTTTATATCATTCTTCTTACTATTATATTTCAGTGTATGATCAATTTGAACTGCACTTTATTTCATAATAAACTTTGAGTCTGCTGCACAATCGAATTATAACACAGCTACTGCATCAGTATGTGGTTGTCGATATAATTTTTTTATTATAATTGTTTTAACTGGATCAGTAAATTGAAATAAAGCAATCATAATAAGTAGCAATGAGACATCAACAAATGTAAAAGCAATACGAATAGGGTATTTTGGTGGTTGACTAATAAATCCCATAAGAAGAAAGATTGTATAAGGTATACCAAGTGTTAATTCTATCGATACAAGTATGATTATTCGACTAACCATTTGCAATTCTCTTTTTGCACGAGATAACGTATTAGTTAGTGTTACACGTTTACTCATCTCTTTGACATATATAATTAACTTAAAATAAATAAATATAATACCACCCATAGGTAGTAAATATATAAAAACTATATTATAGACCGATATAAAGGAAAGATGAAGTGGCAGTTCGCATAACTGATCATCGATATAATATTGTATTTCATTAGTAAGCATGTGTGGAATAGTGCATATAAAGGCAAATATCCATGATAAACCGATAAGAAAAACTTGAAGCCACTCTGATTGCCATAATAAACGAGTTGGAGAAACTACAGTCATATACCGATAGTTTGCTTGTAATAAATAAGAATAAAATTGTCCAGCACAGAAAACATAACCAATGTAAGATCGAAAAATACAAAGTGAATCTTGATATTGGATATGTTTAAGATCATTTAGAAGTTCAACGATAGTTATTGAAATCATACGACTCGCTAATAATAGTTCGCTAACACATGAATTGATAACAAGTATCATGGAAACTGTGTGACATGTTTTATCTATTGTAGCAATAGATATAATTATTATCGCTAGTATAATCGCCAAGGTAAGACATATGATATTAACAATACCAAGAGGAATAAACCAAAACTCATTATGTATGATTGTTAAATTCATATCTGTTATCGCTCCTTTTTGTTCTTTATTCCTCTTCTTTCATAAAACAAGAATCTTCCTTCTCGTCACAATATTCACTCCTTAAACACTCAACAATATCACTGGTACGTGGAGAAATGGAAGAGATATATCATGCCAGAACACTTCTCCTCCCCGCCGACAGAGAAAAGAAAAATAATATGACAGAACGAAAACATCAGAAAAAAACGACTAAAATAACAAGAACATAAAGTTATAATAAAACACAAAAGGAAAATAATAATCGCAAAAGGTTTTTTAAAGAAGATGAAACTAATTCATGAAAGAGATAATCGTAATAAAAACAAATGTAACCACGTAATGGTGTACAGATGAGATAGAAATAAAGGAAGAAAAAAGCGAATAAAATGGTACGCAACAATTGATATAGGTCCAACACTATTAAGTATAAGCTATGATGAACTTGCACGTTCACCTCGAAGAACATTTATTATGAACATAAAATACTAGGGAGCTGCTAAGCATCGAAACCACTCTTGATCTTCCGTGTTACACGGTATTTTCTTACAGCAAAATTATGATAATACTGTATCATCAACAAGGGTCTGACAACAGGTGGTTATAATAGGAATTAATATACCAATAAACAGATAAAATATCTTCTAATACGGAAAACAAAAAATTCGTTGAGTGTATTTTGAAAGATAAAAAAGTTAGAATATATTCTTTGGTAAGCATCATACGCACTTTATTCGCTTCAATGAACGATAGTAAGTAGTTATGCTTCAGTTTTTATATTAATAATATAAAAGATTATCTATGATTAAAATATTCTGCATGAATAACCAATTTGATTTTTCTTTTGAGAAATAATATAAATGTAATATTTTCAGAAAAATAAACTTGTTTTAGACACTCTTCTTGAAATAATTTATTTCGTATTTTTGACGTTTCGATATATGAAAGAATCCTTTCTCACTTTATTTATTGATGGAAATGAACACTAAAACATTTACGCGCACTTTTAATTATCTTATCATTCTAGTTCTTTCTCTATTTTTCTTTTCTTTTCTTTTTTTTCTGTTGTCGATAGTAGAGATGATCTTTTGTCATCTTCTTTCAGGATGTGGATAGATGTGAGTTGAGCAGAAAAAAGTAATTCACACTCACATCCTTACTCTAATTAAATTTTAGGGTTAAAAAATGCTTAATAACAGCACTACGACAAACATATCCACAATCAACAGAAAGAGATATACCATGAAAAGAAAGAGAAAGTATCATCTATACATAGTCATCAAAAAGAAGGGTGTGGGGATTGTCTTTATTTATCATAAACTCCACATCCATCCTTCTTCTCTTACCGAAAGTAATGACATGTGATTTTTTATTTCATATTATGTATAAAAAACAGACAACAATAAAACAGAAACTTTTTCTTCGAACTACAGTAGTCTATAGTTTAAATTTTTTATATAAGGGTATAGTAAGAGCTTATGAATAAGAAAAGTAATAGTCATTTGTGTGCGTTATCTGCTGTAGAGATATCGATGCAATAGAACGAAAGAAAACCTTCTGTTTTTTTTTATTGATGACGTCTTCTTTGTTTTGTCATATTTTTATAGTGAATCAATTTTGATAAAGATATGAGAAAAGATGACATCATCATAAACATATAAATATTTACACGTTTCTTCTTTTCTTATAATAAAATCAAATACAAATGGATTCTAATAAAAACGGCGACTCTCCACCACCTTATATCTATTCAACATTACAACCAACAAATTCATTTGCTAGCCCATTTTCTTCTAATGAACCTTCAAAACTAAATGTAGAATTAACAAATCCAACCTTCAATAACAATAATTCATCGTCTTCGTCATGTCGGGATTGTTTAGAATGTTTTGTATCAATTATGGAATTTCTTTCTTGCTGTTGCGCATTTGTTGGATGTATAGCAGAATGTGCTAAATAAAAATTTTGCATTTCTATCTTATATTTTCCTAAAATCTCAAGTTTATAAATAAAAGAAAAAAAACTAAATATTAGTGCACTTTGAATTCTTGTATAACGACAAGATTTTGTTTAGAACAAACAAATACATTCGGTTTAGAATAGTTGGTCAGTATTCGTCAGAAAGGGTATAAATCAACTAACAAAGGAACTTCACTATCGTATATACTTCGTTTAATTTCATAGTGTATATAAAAACTCTATAAGAATTTCTGTTGTTAGGCTTTTCTCCTCTGATTAAGGACACCTTACTAAATCTATATCTTGAAATACCTTGTTAAAAGTCCTTTTTTTAAAGATTCCTCATATCGTCAACAAATGAAACTTTTAGAATGAAATAAAGATTGTGACAACTATTATGGAACGAATTCTCTGTTTCAGCGTTTTTCATAATACCCTACGACATGATAAAAATGTCGTTAAATTTTCATAACTGGATAAGAAAGGTCTAATCACACGATGAGCTCAAACGGAGTGTATCATTTGGTGAGATTTTGTCGTACAAGTATTTCACTCTTCCTAGTGTATACAATATTAAAACAAAACTATTAAATCAATATCTGCGAGACTAAAATGTGAAACACAATCATGCTGATAACATTATAAATTGAATTGTCAATAAGTTCTCAAATTTTCAAATATTTATTTTATTCATCGAAAAAAACATTTCATTAATCTTTTTATATCAACTATTCGACGTAATCCTCATCTTTTCAATTCATTTCTGGAATATATTTTGGTATTTGAGAATAAACCACAGTGTGAGGGTGGGTGTGTATATCTTTATATCCACACCCGCACCCTGAAGATCTAATACCTGTAAAAAATCGTTTTTAATGATAATCCATTTATTAATTAGATATATAATTATGTCATACAATCAAAAATATAATAGAAGAACATGTAAATAAAGTTGGCTCACAATCCGAGCAAATTTTTGCTCCAAGTCGAACTTAATGAGCTCTGTGCAACAGTACAGTGAAATTTTTTGTAACTTAAACTTTAATTCTTAAGATTATAGATAATATCATACAAACTAAGAAAATTAAAATTGAAGATACACAAAATCTGAACAAACCATTGCATAGAGCTCACTAAGTTATATTTAGAACAAGGACAAAAGCTTAAAGGCAGTTCCTAGAGTAAGTTGGTTGAAACACAACAGTTCAAAACTAATTAACTACTGGTTCACCAATATTTGTATGATAAATGTCTGACAGTTCGGCATACACTTTGAATATATTATTCATTCGATCAAGTAGAGTTTGACGATCAGAATCACATTCGTTAAGACTATTGATTATCTCACGTATACTATAGCTGGTCCAGAATGCATTTTTGCGGTTGTAAAATGGACGATTGTCTATACCATTTCCAAAAACTTCTTTTAAAATTTCAATATCATTCGACTTCTTAAAAATATCGCGAGTTTCTTCGTAAGTAAAAAGATAATAGAAATTATCATATCCAGCCCAAGTAATAGCCGAAATACACATTGGACAAGGTTCATGAGTACTTAGAAAAATGCATTCTTTTGCATCTGGTATTTTAGATCGATCCTTTATTTGCCAAAGTGTATTGATAACGTTGATCTCACCGTGCCAGATTGGATTTTCTGCTTGACCATTACCTGTAGCAACAACAATCGATAAGTCTGATTTTTTGAGAATAGCTCCGCCAAATACACAACTGCCATGTGCAACAGTCACTCGAGTCTTGGGAATAATATCCTGTTCGATAACATCGAAAAGTCGGCTGACTAGATCGATACTATTCATCTAAAATTAAAATTAAAGACTGTTTCAATGGAGCTCCTACAACCTGATCTTCATGTATACAACCGATACTGAAGTTAAACTCAGTTGTTCTGTTGACTCAAGTATTTCTTTATATTCTTTGTTGCTCGCTCTACTGGAAGATAGGTTATCTACAGAAAGAGTCACTTTTGTTCGTTCGTTTGTCAAAGGACAAAAGGAAAGCCAGCAATGGATACTAGCGATGTTTATTTATTCCCTCGGCTAAAGGAAGAGTCGTATGTAGAAGAGAAAGAATTTGTGATTATGCTCGTATCATATGTTAAAAAAAAACAAAACGAACGATTAAGGATGAGTGAAGATAATTACAGCTAGTTAACCCTAACAGTCCCGTAGTAGTAAAAATGCTACACATATTCTACAGAAATCAGTACGTAACCATTTGGAATGAAAGATATATATATGTAACTGAACGATTGATCGTTCGTGCTTTATTTAACCGAATAAATGAATACGAACGAATATGAAAACGAAGAGAGAAGAATGAATAATGAACGACTATCTCTCTATACTCACCGTTAATGAGGTGAAATGGCCAAGAATATGTAAGAGATACTGATGGATGAAATCTGTCACAATATAGTCGTCTATTGAAACGTTGATGGTGGGGATGTTCTAATCAAAAATCCACATACACTCTCTCGCATGAGAATATATATCTAAATATATAAGTCGCTTCTCGTTAAGAATCGATAATTTTATTTATAGGACAAAGCACATCAAAAAAAAAGAAAGAGAATATACCAGAATGAAGCAGAAAGCAAGAAGCGGACGTATCAGAATGCAAGAGAGAGTATATGAGTATATATACGAGCATCGGCAGCAAAGAGTTAATAGAGTAAGGAATGTTTTTGATAATATTGAAGCAGACAAGTTCACGATGAACGAAATCGTCTTAATTGTTGTTGAATTGCTGTTTGAAATTGTTTTTTATAGTTCTCCGATGGTAAAATAAAGGTAAAAAAGATCAATATCGATGGTATGAACGAGATAAAATAGCCGAACAGATACAGCCAAGGATCGCGCATTGTTTTCATACATCTATTCATAAATGTAATGATCAGACGAGGTGTACCCAACAAAACTATCATTCCAGGTGGAAATAAAAGACGTTTATTTTGAGATAATTGTTGTCTGAATGATGTTGTAGATTCTAAAGTAGAACGATTACGAACCATATATTTAACAGTTAGAAAAACTGAGATCAGATTGGTGAGAAGAGGACCAAAAAAATGAATAAGAGTCATTGATGAATTGTAAATATTCATTGATGATGAATATTGAACGAAACACCAGACCCGATGTTCATCTTCATCTTGATCATCAATCAATTCACGATAAATTGGATCATGAATATATGAAAGAATGATTATCAGAAATAAAGAAGGAATAACCCATTTTGCTACTCGTTTACTTTTTCCTTTATTAAAATTGACACCTTGAATAACATTGATACATCTTTCAATGGCTACACAGGCGAATAACCATTCATTCAATGCTAAAAGAACTTTTAGAGCTACATCATTTGTTATACAATTAAATAATAGTAATGATCGATTTTGAATAATTTCCATTTGAGAGAGTAGAAGATGAAAAAATTTAATTGTTAATAGAAAAACCATGAATGTCGAACTGATTGATGATGTTAGAAGATAATAACCACAACCAACTTCCTTCAATTTCTGCGATTGAAAAGTAATGATTGAGAATGATCCACTGATCAATCCAATACCGAAAATAAGTAGAGTGATCATCATACTCACAATTACAATCGACGATTGTCGATACCATGCAACATTTGGTTTAATATAATATCCAATGATTGGATCCAGTGAAACAATATAACTTTTGGTAGAAAATTGACATTTACTACCATAAAAACATTCTTTACATGCACATATTGAACTCGTTGGACATACTTCACTATTCCGAAAACATTGACCATCATTTTTACAATCGTTATATCCTTGACAATCGTTGTTCATAGAATGATTGAATGAAAAACAATTGGCAAAACGATCGAGATCACAAATACACATTAAATTTTCATCGTAGAGACAGCGCAATTGAGGTTTTTCTCGACATAACATTGGATAAAATTTTGCACGTTTGATCTGTTCAAGATTAGCAATAGTTAAATTTAAAAGATCTGTAATACTCGAACAGTGTTGTTTTGATAATATTGAAGTATCAATATTTTCAGTTGGAGAAAATGCTTCGCGAAGAATAGCCAAATAATAACTTTGATTCGGTAATTGAACAAATAGAATATTAAATGGTTGAGAGGCATAAATTATAATTAGATCATTATCAATTGGAATTTTTTTAAATCTTGTCATTCGCTCATGTTCTGTGTCTTCGAATGTTCTTATAAAATGAATAAGAACAAATGATGAAGTAGATACGATTGTCTTATCTAAACGTAGAATGATACGACTACTAGAATATTCACATCTTGAACCATAATAACCTTCTTTACAAATACACATTATAGATTGTAGATCAACTCGATCATCAGAAGGAATACAAGTTCCATCATGTTGACAAGGATTTGAATTACAGATCGATCGTTTTAGATAACAATATGAACCAAACGTATGCAATGGGCAAACACAAATTGATGGCGAAAGACAAATAGAATTCACGGAACAATGGCATATATATGTTACATTACATGATGTACCAGAATATCCTGTATCACAACGACAATAAGACGACGAATTACTATTGGAGTATCGGACGCATCTACCATGCAGTCCACACGATAAATCACATGATTCTCTTTCTCCGTATTTCGGAATAAATAGCTGGGCAGAAAGTCGATTGACAGGAAGAAATTGAAAGGGAATTGGCAAATGCCAACTGGCCAAGAAATTTAATGTGGTTTTATCGAAAAGATCAATACGAATTGAATAATTATTTAAGTAATGTTTTGGTCGATGTGGATAAAGTAAATACCGATTAAACTTTGTTGCACAATCATGAGCAGGTATATACATTATTTGTTCATGATACCGAGCAATTTCTCCTTCTTTATCGATCAACATGATTACTACTTGAAAAACGGAGTTGGTAAAAGCTGCTTGAAGTGAAACAAGTTGAAACGTAAAACTGATTCGTTGACTTTGCCATTGACATCGAGATCCAAAATAGCTCGGTGGACAAAGACATTTCTTTGTTTGATTAACGCTATGTAGCACGAGAATACCACGATGGCAATACCAATTTTTACGAGTATCTGTGTGAAATGTTTTTCTTGTGTCTTTTCGAACCGTCGAAGTGTGTACAATTGACAATGAAGAAGATTTTGGTGGAAAATCACCAAATCGAAATGAAGTTAAAAAGTAGTGTGAGTCCTTTCGAAAGTCCTTCCGGTCTATTTTGCATAACTCTGTTTCAGTATCAGTTCGGTTAAAAATAGATGACCAAGGCAAAACTATTAACCGATGATCTTGGAGACATACATCTTCTTGTGGTATTAATGCCATTGGTGCCCAGTCACAAATATTGTCTTGAGTAAGACATTTTGACATGTTCCATGGATAATACTTCTGATCGTTAACACGACTGCCATTACTAAAATAGAGATTTCGTAATCGGAATTCCGAACAATTATCGATGCGTTCATCGAACATTTGAGATATTGGTAAACAGTAAGTCAATCCCGATTCACCACTAATACATTCATGTTCATTGAACGAACATGTTGCATTAGGACAATTTAGTTCGTCAGCACCATTTAGACAATCCCATACATTGTCACAATGAACGTAAGCATTATCACATGGCCACCATTCACAATCTGACGGATCTACGCTTCCACTGTCAGTAAATTCAACATCTGGCCCATGTGCTCCCCAACCACTACATAATTTCAAGTATGACATTGTCGGATTGAAGTCTTGTTTCTTATAAATCTTTTCGTCCCGTCCATTTCTAATACATTCTCGAATTCCATTACCAACTGCCACGAATGACAAACATTTTTCTGGTAGATCTTCACAATTGAATCGATTTGAATCATTCAATGAACATGTAGGAAATGATTCATCTCCATCTGTATCATCGTAACAATCTTTGAACCCATCATTAACACGATGTGCTGAAATGCATTTTAACGATTGATTACAATAAAAGTTGGATGGATTTGTACATGATAATTCAGTTCCGATTGTTAAACATTTTTCAAAGATAGTTGAGAACTTCGATGACATAGTATTAAAATCCTCTATCACATCAGCCAGGGTCGAATTCGAAACGCGACAACATGTTAATCCATCGATTATTTCAATAGGAACCTCATCATCTAATAAAAATGGACACTTTTTTGCGTCAAAACAGACAAAATCAGGTCGAATATTATTTTTAAATTCTTCAACCGATCGATTTGTAAAATAGACAAATTGAAAAAAGCCAAACATGATGGGTTTTTCAGGGAGTACCAACCATTCGGTGAAACAATTTTCGATCAAAGGTTCACAATCTTTATCCCATTGGCCTTCAAACATTGGAAGCGGAGTTAGAACGTCACCAATGCGATCGCTACCTAGAATTCAAAAATCAATAGATCTGGCGAAAGAAATGTTTTTAGTACAATTTTTGCTGGGCTAATTAATTTTGAGAAACTCACTTATTTCACAAAGGAAATTGATGAGTGCAGGTTTTAAGGCTAGATTTTTGGATCTCTCCATCCTCTTTCTAAACTAGGGTGTGGGTGCGGATCACATTAGGACATGAATACTATCCCCACACCCACACTTACACCTGGTTGTAATCTGGATGAAAATATCTGAGTAGAAACTAGAACAAATCCTAAGAACTACTTTATTTAATTTTTTGGGGTGTTGTAGACAGGATCCTATCAGACATTCTCTTAAAATGAATGAGATTGAGATAGGACCGAATGTTTTAACGTTATCAGTCTTGGTTCTAGCAACTTCTCAAGAGTATGTGCCAAAATAAATCCTGCAAGAGTGCTTTATCAGTTCAAATATCAAAATGTTAGAAAAATAAGATTTCACTTTACCGAAACTTCGATTAGCATGAAGTGCACAGTAAAATGTTTGACGACAACGAATGTTTTCAATGTAATCAAATACAAAGAGCAGTTTTCGGTTGATTTCTTTGTCACGATTGTTCTTACAATAAGTAGTGGTTGCTGGCATATCAGCGTTGTTATTATATTGGCCATCACCGCAAGAGAAACGGTTTAAATACCGATTGCTGCGTTCTTCGCATCGAAAAGTCGGGATATTTATACAGTTACTGCTGAATGTATAAGCAGGTTTGTTGTTACCCGTTGCATAATATTCTCGCTCATCACTTCCATCTAAACAATCCAAATTGAGCATACCATCATGTGAAAATACTGAGGGAATGCATTGACCGTTGTGACAGCGATATTCATCTTCAGCACATTGGTTTACTTCGAGTTCTTCACACATTTGCTCGTCTTCTCCATTGAAACAATCAGATTTTCCGTCGCAGATTTCACGCCAGTCGAGACAAAGAGGCCATGGCCCACGATCACAATCCTTTAGAAAACGATAACATGTACCACTGGTAATGTTGCCCAAAATTCCTGAACGATTATCAAAGGTATTCTGAACAATTTGATTAAATTCAGAAGGCGAATCATCGTCAAATTTATACTGACACATTTCACCAAACCATGGTGTTGAACAGTTGTAGAAAACATCTTTTGAATTTTTATCAGCCATTTCGTATTGCTCTGCAATATCGACTAAGCCTGACCAAGTGAGCAATTGATCAGAACTAATACCTTGTTGTTTTAATTCATTAAACTTGACCTGTGCTGCAACATTTGTATTTGATAAATGTGCCGATTGCTCTTCTTCACCATCATCTGGTCGTCTACAGTATGGAATCAAATAATTGTTAGGAATAAAAGAAGTATCGCCGTTAAAATCATCATCATCAATCCAAGAAGAATAGAAACAATCGAAAAACGATGACAGTTTTTTGTGATCATTCGAATGATACAGTGTAAAATGAACATCGATCGGAATGCACAAAGAGAAAATCAGCAGCACTCGTAAAACTATCATCGAGAAATGACAGAACTTTCCCGATAAAAGAATGTATTTCTTCTTTTGCTCAGTAAAGGAATGTATGAATATTTATTAGATTCTTGTTACCATTTCTACACAAAGGAAATAGATTAACGTCAGTGACAAACAGATTCGGCACATATGCTCATTCATTTATACTTACGATGCTTTTTAGAAACAACGCTTAAGCTCATTTACTTATTCTTTAACTATGAGCATATGTTGAAAAAAAGAATAAGGCACACCCACGTGAAGTTCTCCTATTACTACTTTTTTTAATACTACGTCGCAATTGTGCATAAATGCGACGCAACTAATTTCATATCTGCCATGCAATGACCACAGTTCATCCTAAGTAGTGGACTGTATAAGAATATGAATGTGGGTGTGAGTGAGTGAGTCTTTACTGTGTTCTTCTATGATCAGGCCTTTTCATGTTTTTCTTTCTCAAATAAAAGAAGAATATAACAAAAAGTCATTTGAATAAGTTTTAAATCAAATATCTTCGATCTTTCAAGAATGGTCACAATTCAATCTATATGAATGCAAGTAGAAACTTCATACTTTCTAAGTTTCGGCTTTTTATAATATGTATTCAAGAGCAGATGATTAAATAAGTGTCGAAAAAATTGACAAACAGACATATCTCTATATTTATCAAAAAAATCAAATTTGAATCCTACGATGAATCTTATAAGAAAATGGTGTTCGATAATTTTGAATGAAATAAGATTTTACGTAGTTTATTAAAAAAAAGTCAACTTCAGTTTCATTAATACATTTTGTCCGGATGTTATGTCAAATGCTTTTATTTTTCCATAGAAAATACGCCATTCTTTAGAATAACTGAGAACTATTTTTTTACGCATCATTTAGTTTTCTCTAATAAGTTGTTGATAAAATATCATATTCTATAGAGGAAAAAATGCATTAGAAAGATTGAACTAAAGTTTTTTTCACAATTAATTTGATTGTAACTTGTAGAGTAAAAGGTGATTGTGGGTGAATTTGGGTGTAGCTGCTGATATGATTTTCATATATAGTAGATATTCTGGCCTATGCTCACACCCACACCCTAGCTTTTTTTAAAGTACTTATATTGTAAATATTTTTAAAATTCAGTTTTAATTTAACAAAATATATGCAATGATATATTGTTTTTCTTGAATAAAATTTTATTACTCACAAAACTAAATCCGAGATTAACAGTCATTGAAATATATTAAAACAGAGAAAAGATCTGTGAGAATTATTGACTGAAAACATCATTTTGTTAATTTGTTTTTCTTTTATTTTCTTGTTGAACGCTGCGAAAGTTAACAGTAATAACGAATTTTTAAGGAACATAAAGTCTTAATGATCTATTTCAAATCCAATAGGATTCTGAGAGCAAAATTGCATTGGAATTCGATATGTTTATGTCTCTCGGATTCTTATAGAATGACCGAATCTTATACGATTTAGCGATATGGGTCTTGAAAAAAATACGTAACATATGAAAGATTCGATGAATGATAACCTCACTTGAAGATTAATCAATCGATACTTATTCATTCATCTTGCTGTGTTTGTTACGTGTCTTTTTACAATAAATATTTTCAATTCAATTCAAAAATTTAAAAACAATATTTTGCATCCGTTATTGAACAATGGCGAATAGAAGGTCATCTTCTAGAGACCTGGATGTACTGGAAAACGGATGAACTAGACGAGAAATTATATGGGATGTGAAACAACATCTTATTCATTTGAAAGTCAAGTTATTCTAAAAATCCATTAAAAAACTGTCATAATGTTAATAATTGAGAAGACAGTATAAGCTTTATAGAAAAGAAAAAGACATTTTAGTATAAGTTATAAGAGCATAAATATAAAGGAGTCTTTATTCTCGAGAAAAATATTCTATTGATGTTATTGATGAAAAGATTATATATTAGTTCAGTCATACAGAGTAGTTGACATTACAGTCTTCTTTATAGAAAACGAAAGTATAGATTTCCTAAAATAGTATGTAAAATTAATGTAACTCATTTAAAAAGTTTAGAAAATACCTTTATGAATTCTTGAATAAGAATGTCAATTGAAAATATTTTTCAATCCTGGTTGATTCCATTTGATATTCTTAATCTGATATGTCTCGTTTTGGTTATTATACTTGCATTAATATTTTTATTTCTTATTATATTTAATAAAACATGTCATACAGTTCCAATGATACTTGTAGCGAATTCATGTTCAGCTGAACTTATATTCGCAGGTAGTATTTTTTCGATGGCAATATTTACATTAACAAATGACCTTCTACGACGAGAATATAATGATTCGTTTTGCATTTTTCGAGGTTATGCTATTTATGTTGGCTGTTACGCACAGAATTATTCTTATTTCTTACAAGCAATCTACCGGTATACAACGGTTGTTTACCCAGCTCGTTTATTTTGGCGATCAGCAAAATTTCAATTATTTCTCATCAGTTTAATGTGGATGTCTGCTGTTATATCTGTTTTGCCGCATATATTTTACAAGAAATTTTTATATCTTATTGATGATCAAATGTGTGAAATGCCATCTGAACTTTCTTTTGTACCAATTTATAATGTAACTTGGTTTTTTATAATACCCGTGAATAGTATTATATTTATTTATTTTAAATTAGTTCGATATGTTAAAGAAATGAATAAACATGTAATGCTAGTGAATACTTTAATTCGTGCAGAAAGAGAATTAAAAATGGTATATCGAATAGTTATACTTGTAACATTTCTGGCAATACTTGGTATACCTTATGCGACTTTTACAATTATGGGATTTTTTACTTCGCCGCCAAAATATCATTTTCGTATTGCATATATATTTGTCAATATATCGCTGGTTTTTATTATGATAGTTTTATTTAAATTTACAGATCCAGTTCGAATATCTATAATGAAAAGAATAAAGCCAAGGCCAAATATAATAGTCGCAGTTGGGAGATAAATCAGAAGATTAAAATAAAAATATAAAAAAATAAACTTCTTCAATGTTGTATTCTATTTATTTACAACGAACAAATATATTGGCTTTCGATATCATTGTAAGAGTACTTCTTCATTGATAGACATCGTATATTATAACGTACGTGGAAATAAAAAAACGAGGGAAAATGATTGGTAAATAAACATAAGTTTTATTATTTGTATCAAATGTTAATCTCTTTATCTTTGTTACTTCTCATCTCAAGTAACATGATATGAAATAAATTTCAGTTTTTATCTGACAAGACTGACTATATTATTTTCTAAAATATAAATACTCTTCTTTTTAATTATTGAATGCTACATGAAATATATACGATAAGGTTTCGAATCGCTTTTCTGATTTAAGCGAAATATTGATGCTATCATTAACATCGCTAGTTTTTATCAATTGAATAGAGTTCTTATGATTTTTACCTGATTTGTTCTCATAATATATAAGATGAATTTAACTTCGAAAAGAATATTCTACACCCCTATACATATTATTAATTCGTTAGTTTGAAACTATTTAAAAGAAAGATTTTTTATAAGTTTTTATATTTCTACCTATATGATAAATAGATTTTGAAATCTTAATTATATTTATTTAAAATTGTAAATTGGATAACTATCGTATATGTTAGAAATAAAGAACTAATTTTAGAAGTACCGACGTCTTGTCAACAAATGTGTCACTTGATAATTATGTAAAGTCGTCTTAAAAAAAGAATTTATTCTTCTGCCTGGGATAAGAGTCAATTAAGATAGAAAGATCTTCTTTCTTCTTTCTTGAAGAAAAACTCCTAATATGAAACGATATCTGATGACAAGTTTTTTTTCATAATAAGAATCGTTGTACTCTATTGAAAAATAGAGTTACATTTATTATTGTGTAGACTTTATAAGCTATAATCACAGCTAATATTCTCATAGAGACGAGCTCAATCATATTAAATTTATCATACTCTTACACTGATTACTAATATTCATTGGAAAATAATATATTGCACATTACCAGCAACACTTACATTCCCGTCATATGACATTTACATATATGTATATAAACATATCTTTCTCTTTTATTTTACATCATTTCAAAAGATTCCAATTCTTCAGTTATAACTACTCAATCATGGTTTATTCCGATTGATATTTTATTGATTATTTTAATCGATAAAATATGTCATTCAGTGGCCATGATGTTTATTGCTAATTCATGCTTTACAAGTCTCTCATTAATGATTATTTTATTATAGACTACAATCATTACATTTCATAATGACCTTAAACAATTTTATTCTCAAGATTCATTCTGTATGGTTCGAACTTTTATTAGTTATGTTATTTCTGCTGAATTATTTTATTCTTATTTGTTACAAGCAATTTATCGAACTCGATTATTTTGGCAATCAGCACAATTTCAATTTTTTCTCATCAGTTTAACTTGGATTTGTGCTTTTCTTCATGCTACTCCACATATATTCACCGGTCAATAGAAATATGCTATTGATGATCAGATATGTCAAATACCTCTTCATCTTTCATTTATATGAATATATTTTCTCATATATTTCTATACTGACTCAGAAATCGTTACACATTGATCTTATTTTTTGTTACATGAGTAATTGGAGGAGTTCTGCGTTTTTTTATTACCTGAAAGAAATAGCCATCACGTATCCATGGAAATCGCTAATAATACATCATATTTTATGTTCATATTATTATAAGCTTTCTTCTTGATTGTATTGTGCTCTTAAAAAATAAATAAACAAATGAATGTATGTATTAGGTAAACCATATTTGTTTTGCTAGCGTGTTTGATTCACTTTCTTATATGACCTAATTCATCTTCTTTAAAGAGAATTAGTTTTCATTTAATGTCAATGAATATTAATATTATTTTCATGATGAAGATCTCTTATCTGTCGAAAAAAGATTTTCTTCGTTCTTTTATTACCTACTGATATTTATTAACCTTGACTCATTCTGTTTTGTGTAAATAAATACACAGACAAAATGATAACAAATATTCATTTCTTTTTCAAATTCTTCGACAAATGGCAACAGCAAATAATAAAGCACAATGTTTTGTGTGTAATAAAGAAAAAAATACATACGATTGTAAAGGATGTTCAAAAGACTTTTGTTTTCAACATTTAACAGAACATCGACAAATTCTTGACAAACAGTTAGATACAATTATTAATGATCATGATCAATTTCAACAGACAATTATTCAACAAAAACAAAATCTTCATAATTCTTCTT